TTGGTTGATGTGTCCTGGAGTTTTGAAAAATTGAATGCTGTATTTTTTTTTTGCTTTCCCTTTTTTCTCTGTTCCATCCCATGTCACCAATAAAGTTATTATTTGCTGTCATTAATAAATATGAATATTGGACACCATGAATTATGATGTATCTACCATGTGGAACCTGTTTGGGTTACTTCTCCTATTTATCTGGGAGAGAGGAGGAAAGATAGTTCATCAGATGAAGTTTTCATAATGATGACTACACACAACTGAGTTTTCTGTCATTGTATCAGAAAGAGTAGAGGACTATTTGAAGCTTTAGAACATTGGTAAGGATTAAATTACAGCAAATTTAAGATTTAAAAAAATGTAGAACGAATGGGCAGATTTATATTTGTGGTGAATTTCAGAGCAAATAGAACTTGGATAAGAAGTTAGTCTCTTTTCTTTCTGGAAATCTAAGAAAAATAATTGACATTCTGTAATTAGTAAGAAGAGCAACCCAGCTAAGAATACTTTCTCACTGTCAGAAAATCAATGTCTTATTCATGTTTTTAATGTCTATGAATTAACTGTAAATGTTTTGGTTTTAGATATAATTAAAGAACAAAATAAGGAATTAAGAGGTACACAGAGGGCTATAGGAAGAGATCGACTAGCTTTGGAGAGACAAGAAAAGCAACTGGTAAGCGTATCAAAAAAAAGTTTACTCTTACTTTTTCAGAGTAAGAGGCCAATTTGTAAAATGATATTTTTGTATTCTAGAGTTTTCAAGTACAAATTAATCAATTACTACTGTTTTTCCCCAAATATATGACATGTTCTGAAAATAAGGCAATGCCAGATTTTGGGGGTGTATAGGCCACCCCCCAAAAGAAACCCCTTGGATAACACTCCCCTCTGGCCAGGCAGAGTACTACTCACCAACCTAGCGGCGTCCCAAAGGCAGCAAGCCGTGGAAGCAGCAGGGAGGCGCTCACATGGCTTGGTACTTTCGGGATACCACTAAGTCGATGAGTGGCACTCTGCCTGGCTGGAAAGAGGGATTGCACGAGCATCTGTTCTGCTTCCTGCTCATGTGCCTCCCAGCGTCACCACAGCCTGGGCCAGTTCTCCCTGCAGGGCCAGGGTGCCACCGCCGCTGCCATCCCAGAACTGAGGATATCTTCTTCTGTGGCTTCCAAACCCTGGTTGTCTGCTGCCGAGTGTTCTGGAAGCTGGGGCAGTGCTCTGGGAGTGTACTCTATGGTTGTGGGCCAGCTGCCGGAAGACTCTCTGCCCCGGCTGCTAGAAGACTCGGCAGCAGACTTCCGGGGTTTGGAAGAAGCCATCCTCGGTGCTGGGATGGTGGTGGCAGTGCCCTGGCCCTGGAGGGAGAGATGGCCCAGGTGGGGTGAGGCTGGGAGGCGTGTTGGCAGGGGACAGAACAGGTGCTCATGCAATCCCTCCTTCAGCCGAGCAGAGTGTCACTCATTGACCCAGCGATATCCCAAAGGCGCCAAGCCACATAAGCCACTGTTCCCCCATGGCTTGGCACCTTTGAGATACCACTGGGTTGGTGAGTGATGCTCTGCCCAGCTGGAGAGGGGGGGTTGTCGGGCAGCTACTCGCAAGCATGGTCACCTCATGGCTGCTATGTTGCATTGCTGTGAGAGCGTAACATAGCCGTTCGCCCCTGAGGCTGTGCCAGGCTCTTCAGGAGCCTCCTCGTAAGAGAGTAGCCACCCTGCAACCCCAAAACAATAAGCCCTTCCCCCATGATAATAAGGCCAAGGCAATATTTTGGGGGTCAAAAGAAAATAACACCCTGTCTTATTTTCAGGGAAATACGGTAGTTATGTGTCTGTCTATTTATTATAATAATTATAATGATAATTCATCAAATACAAATGCAAATAAAGATTAAAATCAGCTTTGTTTTCAATAAATAGGAATTGGAAATAAAGAAAATGGCTAAAACAGGAAACAAGGAAGCCTGTAAGGTTCTAGCAAAACAGCTTGTGCAGTTGAGAAAACAGAAAACTCGAACCTATGCTGTTAGTTCAAAAGTTACATCCATGTCGACTCAGACAAAACTGATGAATTCCCAGATGAAGATGGCAGGAGCAGTGTCAACAACAGCAAAGGTAGGCAATTGGTCCTAACTAACCCAAGTACTGGGAGTCATGTAGTTAGGAAAAACCCCTGTCTGAAAATTTACTGCGTGTTTTTTAATCTTTTTCATCTCAGCGCATACTTGTAATAGTCAGGACCAGAGGTCCTGTGACATCACAGGTTGCTGGGACATAGAAGGATAAATGGAAGCAATTTACCACTGTGATGTAATGGAAGTGGGACTCTGGTTGTTCAGCTACACAACAGCACATCACTTCCTGTCATTTATTTTGGCTTGCTAATACAGCATGCCATCTGACCTTTCATGCCACACAAATGTGCCATGGCACAGCAGTTGAAAACTTGATCTAGGGCATTTTGGTCGATTAGAATTACTGTATTTTTTGCTCCATAAGACGCCCCTGACCATAAGACGCACATAGGTTTAGAGGAAGAAAACAAGAAAAAAAATCTGCCTCTGCCTCCCAGCGTCCATGCGATATTTATCTGGCTATTGTCCTTGCAGCACACATCCTGCCTCTTCCGTGTCTGTTGCCTCCACGGGGAGGCAGCTGATCAGCGGTTGATTGGCCTCCCCAGAATACACCGATCAGCTGTTCCAGGCGGCAGGGATCACTGCCGCCATTCACCGCTACTGTCCATATTCACTCCATAAGACATACAGACATTTCCACCCACTTTTGAGAATGAGGAAGTATGTGTCTTATGAAGCGAAAAATACGGTAAGTGGCACAGAAAACAATTGCCTAATAACTTTAAGACATTTTTTCCAGCTGGCAACTAATTAAAGAAATATAAAACTTTTCTGATTTTTTGCTGTTCCATTATTTGTAAGACCTTTATATTATATTAAAAATATTATGTAAAGGTTTCACTTATGCCACAATGTATCTGTTAATGTAAAATTGTTAACTCTGGGCTGGGATTACATAAACCATCCTTAAACCTGCCATTTCCCAACCCCTGAACAATGTTTACTCTTACATATACTTGAAATAAGCCTACCATCAACTATTGTTTGAAGCTGGCTCATTTTAATAACCGTAATTAAAATTAAATACAATGTTTGCAATCAAAGTGAAATTCTCGGCTCCAGAAAGAATACACAAAGAAGGGTTGATGAATCCAGTATTTGTGGTCAGGTAATATTAGGCGTAGCATTGATTAGAGCACCCTGATTACTGTGCCAAGTACTTTAAAAATGACAAACTTGATCAGGCCAATACAGATGTTCAGAATCTGGGAAACAAAATCATGTTTAAAAAAAATGAAAAGGAAGGAAATGTATTGTTTTGCCATGAAAAATGATAAGTGTATGAGAATATGCTAACATTCTCATATGCCTGAAGTGATGTCACAAGGAAAAAGGCCATGACCTGTTCTTAAACATCCTATTAGAAGGATATGGAATGATAGTCCTCAATTCAGGGCAGCAGATTCCAGATGGATGCTCGGAAAACCTCCTGCCAATAAGAGCAGTAAGGTCAATTCCTTAAGGAGAAAGCAAGTTCTCCTTTGCTGAGTAAGAGGCTTAAATGGACATTTGTTAGTTGTATTTTAATCTGAATTTGTCTACTGAGTAAATATTGAACTTTATGGCTCTAAGTAGCGTACTTCAAATTGTGAATCTGTAATTCTAATTTATTGTTGACCAAGCCAAATCAAAATTAGAAATAGTTATTATTGAAATCTGGTTTGCAGATAGCTTACTTCTAACAACTCTTTATGACGATGAAACTTGGATTACAAACAAGATAATGAATTTTCTTCTTTTAAACATATACAATTGCAATGGTGGTGTGATCCCTATATAATATTAGACTACAATACATTTGAATATGAAATGACCTTCTCTCTATTCTGGTAGACAATGCTGGCTGTCAATAAAAAGATGGATCCACAGAAGACACTGCAAACTATGCAGAATTTCCAGAAAGAAAATATGAAAATGGAAATGACAGAAGAAATGAGTAAGCTGTTTTTTTCATATTATGCTAAACCTTTTTCTTAGTTCTACTTTAGGCTTGTGATATAATTGATTTCATAGATTTTAAACTAGTTTTGATTGAAGTTGCTATATTCATAAACATCTTGGAAAAGAATGACAACATTCTGGGAAAGCACATTGAAATGAACATTTTCCCTGCCCATTCAAGAGGGTGAAATGGGAATAGCTGAAACAGTATATTTCCAATATTAGTTTTAAAAATTATGTGACAAGAGTGAGAAGTTATGCTGAGGTTCTCTAGTTACTATGCTAAGTCTTGGCTTTGACTTCTCTTTCAAGTCAACGATACCCTAGACGATATCTTCAATGATTCTGATGAAGAACAAGAAAGCCAGGATATTGTTAACCAAGTTCTTGATGAAATTGGAATTGAAATATCTGGAAAGGTATGAAGAAGTGTCTTCCCTCCCTATTTTAATTTACTTTGTAATAGCAGTTTTTTGGATGTATGCTTGCAGTTGATGAGTTATTTTAGTTACATAAATTAAACTTTTCATATTATTTTTCTTTTATTAGATGGCAAAGGCTCCTTCAGCTGCGATAGGCATGCCGTCTGCATCTACATCAAAAAATGCTACAATTTCAGATGAAGAGATTGAGCGGCAACTTAAAGCTTTAGGAGTAGATTAGCTTTATGCTAATATGAAGCCTGACCTATACAGCTGCTCCAATATTGGCATATGCACAAACCTCCAGTACAGGTTTCAATAAAAAACCAGATTTCATCGCAAATCTTGCCTAAGCCATTATTGGTAATGGTAATTTCTACAGAGAGCTGGAAGAACTAAACTTGAGAGAGAGAGAGAGCAGAACAAAATATGTCATGAAGAATTTGTATATCTTTTATTAAATTGGGATATTTTGTTAACAGGCCATTTATTACATATGGTTTAAATTTTGATTTCTTCGGTTTAGTTTCGGACAAAAAATATTTAGCTTGGTAACTATTCCATTCATCTTTATATTTCTACATTTTGTAAATTATTAGAAGCAGCCTTTCTGAAAGAATTTCAGCTCTGCTTTAATTGTAAACACTTCTTAAGAAATAACATGACTTAAAATGCAGCTTGTTTTTAATGAGTTGGAAGAGACAGTTGTCATCTTCAGCAGAATGATTATAAAAATTTCAGTAAAAATGTATGGAATTTTTCATTAAATACTTTTTAACAACTTATTCTAGTTCAATTTAATGTTAAAATGATACATATGTTTCCATTATAGATTCTGGAAGAGTATTGATACCCAATTAGTGGAACTTCAGGAAACAGGGCTGTGGTCTAAAATAATTTTCTGTTAGCAAAATGTTGGAAAGGATAATTTGAATAATTTCCACTGTACTGTAATATAGCTGACTTGAAGAAGAGTCTGTGCCTTTCTGTATATAATGTTTGGTTTCTTTTAATTAAGTTTTGAAATGTGAGAAAAGTAATGTAAGCCATTAACTTATGTTAGCACTGAAATTATGTGAACTCCATTATTGGTATGGAGGACATAACACCTGAAAAAGATAATCTTTTTCCTGCAATATCATTTGTACATAAATACCATGCATAATTTTTCATTAAACAAATGTTACTTTTCAAAATATCCTTTATTGTCCAATATAATATGCTCTGTATCCATTTTTACACTTGAATGTTGTACACAGGCTTAACTGAAGTTAATGAATTTATTTGAATTTGCACCTAATACGTTTAAATAACACATATGTGTTATAGGACACTTGAAATGTGTAGCAATAGAAGAGCAGGTTGTAAGAGTATTTTGTATTTTTTTCAAACTGCAATGCAGACTTGACACTGATCTTGTAAGTGCAAAGTAGAAATCAATGAATGATATAACAAAATAATTATTGAAGCTATTTTATTTTACCAATAATTAGATGAAAATAGAATGTCAACAGCAATGAGAATGTAGCATTCAATTTTAAAATTATACATTGTGTCAAATTACTTAAATATTATTAAATTTGATTTAATAGCTACAATATTTAGTGCAGTATATCCCACTATGGTTAGGTTGTGTAAGCTTTCATTGTGTAAAAATGAAAAAGTCTTTATTAATTGCCAATTTAATTTGATAGATTTAATTTATATTTCTGCCTAATATGGATCTGAAATCATTTATGAATTGGTTACTTAGACAGAAATTTTTTATATACTAGTAGCTAAAAGTAAGCTCCATTTAATTTAATGGAACTTCTGTCCAGGCATGAGCACAATTGTGTAGCATGTAAATGCTAGATATGACTGTTTTTTTTAAAAAAAATATTCTGTTAATCTTCTCATCTTCCCTATATTCAGATACTTAGTTAAATTAATAACATCAGTTTTTGAAAAAGAATTGCAATTTAAAAAATCTTTGTTTTCTTTTTTTTGCTTGCAAAACATCTATAATAATTTGTATAGAATAAACTTAGTAATGAGGAGAAATAATTCATCTGGTGAAAAATATCTTAAAAATACTACCTCAGCTGAAATATTGAAAATTATGTTTAAAAATTAATTATTCTATAATTGCAGATTAAAGGGAACATCTAATAGAAGAAGCATACAGGGAAAATGCACCCAATATGAGGCAGAATTTAACTTGGCAACTTTTCAATTTCAGTTTGTTTGTTTGTTTGTTTTCTCATCTCTTCCTGCTTTAGGAACTTCTGCAATTTTTCCAGCCCTTGTAAGAGAGAGAAATACTTTATATTGTAATGTACTATACTAATTCATCTTAACTATAAATGATGCCAATTAAGTATTGGATTACACAACTACAGTATATAGATACCATAATGATTTTTTTTTTGTATCTGATTTGAAGTTGGGGATCAGGAGTAATATTGTTTAGTGATAGCCATTTTGTGAATGAGATAGATAGTACCAGGCTGGATCTTCAAATTCCAAATGGAACTTGGCATAATGCTTCCCATTTAAAAATAAATATACAATTTTAAAAACTTGATTTAATTAAATATAAAGAACATATTATTGACTTAATTTATTGGTATATTTGATATTTTTAACAAATATTATGTTTTCCTTTCCAGCACCAAGAAATACTCTACAAAAACTAAAAATGTAGGCAATAAAGTGACCAAGCAGTCTTCATAACAGGGGGAAAATGCATTTTTTGAGCTTTCTGAATATCTTGCCTTTCTGCACTAATATGATAGGTCTTCCTGAGCAATAGACCCTTTTGAAGAATGACCTAGAAGTTGCATAAGCATAATTTAAGGTTGATATGACTTTTAAATAGCTAAATTTCTTTTTCTGGCTGGTGTAGAATCCTGAAAAAAAAACATCTTAAAGAATAGCAGGGAAGTGTGAAGTGTTCTTCTCAATCATTTTTGAAGAATACAGTTTTAATGTCTTCTTTTAAGTAAAGGCACTTAAAGAAATACATAAACTTTTCATTATTAAATACATTTATAAAGGTATGCTATTTTCTTTGTCGGTGAAATGGGGCAAGAAGTTTTTCAAACAAAGCTAAGAAATCTATTTGTCTGTGGAAAGAATTCTAGCACTCTTGATGGTCCTTAATAATGGAATTAAAGGTGTTCTGGTGTAAACTTGTCTTTACTCTCTTTTCTCTTTGTCTTCGATTGCAGAACCAAACTCTCACCACTTCCTTTTCCAAATTGAGCCCCTCTGCCATTCTCATGATCTCCTGGGATGAAGGTTTGCTTTGTTCTGCAAAATGGCTTTCCAAAGCTTCTTTTGCGGCAATACTGAAAAGAAAAATACCATATGGCAATCATATTCCAAACAGAGCTTTTCTTCTGCTATGTGAAAACAGTGTGCACCATATCATATGTAATCAGTAACTCAGTGTTGCAAAGAATGTAAAATCATATGTATATATGTCTGGGTATACAACAGACTGACTATAGAACCATGATGGTGGCACAGGTGGCACGCAGAACCCTCTGCGGGCACGCGAGTCATTGCCCCATTTCTGGTCCATTGTGCCTGTGTGCGCGTCTCCCACCAGGCAGCTGGTTTTCGGATCTCTGCCATACATGCGCGGTGGTTGGGGCGCATGCGGGAGATGCACCAGCATAGGTGTGGGCCTGGGGCATATGGGGGGAGGGGTTGTGTGCATGTGGGGGGGGTCACATGCATGCATGGAGGGTGGGGCATGGGGGTCATGCATCTATTGCATTATGGGTGCATGTGCGTTCATGTACACTTTTGCCACACTATGACAAAAAGGTTAGCACATCACTGGTATAGAATATGGCTTCTCGGGAAGGACACTTCCATGTTCACCCCAATCAGTGCCTAAAGTAGCATAAAAAGAGATCAGCAAAACAATTGGTGGAACTCTATGTCCCAAAGTTGCTTTTTCAAGAGGTAACTGGACTATCTGGTTTTTCTTTGAAGACGTTTTGCTTCTCATCCAAGAAGATTCTTCAGCTCTGAAATCCTATGCTGCCATTGGTCCCTTACCAGATAATATTCATTAGAGTGGCATTAGATTTAATTCAGTAGATTGGCAGATAGTTGTTTTTTTCCCCAGAAGAATGCTCAATAGAAAAAATATTCTACATCTATAGAATAGATTACAAGCATTGTAATTGCTTGTAATTGCTATTGCCAAAGGTTAAAGAAGATTCCTAGGGCTAATGGTAACTAAGCATTACTGGGCATAGTTGAGTGTTATAGTGGCCTGCTGATGTTCTGCTCTTGGCTGCTGCTTGACCTTATTGCCAGTGCTTATTTAGCAAGCCTCAATGACAACAGTGAAAAGCATCATCTTCATTAGCCTCTGTTCCCCATTTTATATAAGAAAGAAAGAGTAACAAATTACAGGAAGAAAAGATCCAAGAAAAGATCCAAGCCGCATGGTTGTCTCAGTACTTCTAAATGATATATATTTATATAATTGTTCTTTGCTGCTATTCTTACCCTTTAATATTGCTTTGATATTATTGACGTATTTTATGACTTACCTTCCTGGAAATCATGAATATGAACAGTCCCATTTATCTAGAGAATATTAAGGACAAATGAGAATGAAGACAATGTCTCTTGTCTCTCTCTTAATCCTGTGAGCAAATTCTTTTGCTTCCTTTTGTGTCAATTTGGCTCACAAAGATCCTTTTCTGCTTTAATTACAGTTGCTTTGATTTGGCTTATAAATGCTATAAAAGATTCTATACAGTAATAACATTTTTATTCTTAGTTTTAACATAATTAATTTCAAAATGTAATATAACTGTAGCCAACAATTCTAGTCACAAGAGGGCAGCACAGTACTTCAGTTTTGATATAAAAGCAGTATTCTGTTAAATATTAGTGATTTTGAAGTTTGAGGTGATCATAAACCACACATTTTGAGCAGTTTACAATCTGATAAATTATAAATAACACACAAAATTGCAAAAAATATGAATACAATAAAAACAACACTTGTGGCTGTTTTGGTTGTTGAAAAGATTGTTGTTTTGATTAAAATATGTGTTTCAATGGATTGTTCATTGGACATAACGATATAATCTCAAGGTACAAAACAAGATAATTTCTAAGAATATAAAATATATGTTCTAGTTTAGAAATTCAAAATAAGAAAAATATGGTAGGTAGAGAAGTTAGGATGCTTTCCAATCAGTATTTGGTATTTTTATTTTTGTAATTATGGCCAAGTTAATATTTTTCAAGTATTTTCTGTAACCATCTAAGAATCTGATCATTTTTTCTTTGTAATTTTCCCCACCTTGCCTTGCAGAAGTTTTCTAGATCAGAAATATTCTTGGGTACCTTCACATATATTGCATTTGAGATCTCCCAATAGACTTTTAATAATATTCAGATTTAGGAAATAGTTCCACATTTCCTTCATAGTTGAATTGGAAGTATGTTTTGTGTTCTATTGCTGTAAAAGCCAACTTCTTTTCAACTTCAATTGTTCATATTTTGCAGAAACGTGTAATATTTATTTTCACAGTTCACAGAAGTTGTGTCAACCTCTGTTCATTTAGAAATTCATTGAAACCTAACAGTTTAAATAGGCATGTGCAAGCAGTTGCGTACAAGTTGTAGATCATTATGAGAATATAGTAGAGAAGCCTAATCATCAAGACAGAATCCCTATCACTCATGAGGACTATATATGTGAAAAAGATGCATTTCTTATTACCTAATGGTGGTTCTGCGTTTTCTTTTCCGTTCATTCATGCCAACTTTTTCATTGTATAGAGCTATAAGTGGAAAAATAATTAAAAATAATATTAATTAATTTCAGGGAACTAATGACAATGTTGCAAAACATTTTGTGTCACTGTACAGTGTTTAATAGTTGTTTCTGTTTGTATTTAGTTTTTTATAAAAGATGCTTGTATGTGATATGACAGGTGTAATAGAGTTTATTAAAATTCAAACAAAACTATTCTTTTATAGCAAACATAATGCGTTATGGTTGCTATGGTCTTGCATAATAATTGCTAAATTGTTTAGAATTATTTTGTTCATTATAACTGTAAGGAAAACACATTTGACTACATCAGGAGCATATGACGTCCAGTATGTATATATTGGGATAATACATTTTTTGGCATTTGGTCTCTATACTACCACATTGAATTTGATATGAAACATTCAAGGTGTGAGTGAAATGAGGACTTTCAGCTTAAATTCAAGGGTTTGACAAAAGTGTGGTCAACCATTAACCACTGAGGAATTACAGCCATTTTAATATATTTAATATTCCCACCTGTATTTTTGGTGGCTCATAAATGATGGGAGAAACTAACATAATTACAAATATAAGGGTTATTTTAATACTTGGATGAAAATCCTTTGCAGGCAGTAAAGTCTGGAACCTATGCATGTGTCCAAATGATGAGTTTCTCCTTTGAGATGCTTTGTCATGCTTGAACTACAGCCTTCAGTTGTTGCTTGTTTGTGCATCTTTTTGCCTTCAGTAAATAAATAGTATGCTCTTGGGTTGAGATCAATGATTGACTTGGCCAGTGAAGAATATTCCATTTCTTTGTCTTGATTTCTTGGCCTTTTATTATCAGTCAAGTCCTCAATAAACACTGGTGTCCCGGTTCCATTGACAACCATATATACTTATACCATAACATTGCCTGTGCCATGTTTGACAGATGATGTATGCTTTGATCATGAGCTATTCCTTTAATTTTCCATACTTTTTCTGGTATAAATTAATTTTGATTTCATCAGTCCAAAGAATATTTTTCCATAATTGGTGTAGTTCCTTTAGGTGTTGTCAGAACAAAGTCTAATCTGATCTTTCTGTCCAGGAGTGTTACCAGGGCTTTGCGCCTTGTTGTGAAGCCTCTGTGTTTACATTCATGAAGCTATCTCTTGACTGTAGACTTTGATAATGACATGCCTACCTCTTCAAGAGTGTTTCTTGCTTGGCCAGATGTTGCAAATGGGTTATCTGGTCATCACGTTAGTCATCATCCATGGTCTTCCAGGTCCTTGGTGCTGCTGACTCTATTAGCTAATTCTTTCTTTTATACTCCAAACTGTTGTTTTGGCTATTTTGAATGTTTTTCCCATCTCTATGATGGATTTATTTTGTTTTTGTTTTTTCATTCTAATGGTGACCTCTTTTGCATAGATTCCTCTTTGGATATCTGGAACAAAGCACAACTGGAACTGCTTGTCAACCATTGTCCCATTATTTATGAGTCACCAAAAATCAGGGTACATGTATTAAAATGGCTGTAATTCCTCAGTGTGTCATGCCACTCTTGTTAAACCCCTTGAGTTAAAACTGACACTCTCCACTTCATTCATGTTGAATGTTTCATTTCAAATTCAATGTGGTTGTGTACAGAGACCAAATGCCCCCCAAAACTATCATTGTCCTAATATACTCTATATAAATCTGACTGTATATTTGGCCAAGAGCATTTGTTCTGCAACCTTTGCATTTGTGTAAATCTACATATTCATAGTTTTCAGACTAATTATTTCATAATTGGCCTTTACACATGTTATCAGGCAAATAAGTGTCATCTTCATGAATTCTCAAGTTAAAATGTGTAGAGTATTACTTCTTAAAATAGCTTTATAATTGCCTGCTAGAGTTTAGGAACATATTTAGCATTACTGGTTTAAGCTGTAGATTCTACTTTACTACTGTATTTTTGTCAGTGAGGCTGTGGAAATATTATTTGATTTTGTTTATATGCACTTTTCCCATACATTCAGTGAATATGTATAGTGCAAAAGGAATAACACTGTTTCCATAACATTAATGTATCTGGTTTCTATTTACAATACACAATATACATCAGTGTGAAGGGCTCTACTTATATAGATACATATGTTCATACTAACAAACACAACATTTATTATAATGCAAATATACAATAGCTTAGCTTTCTACAAGTACATGGCACTTGACCTGGACATAGATTGTAATTCAGTTCTTCTTTTAAGAAATTAGGGAATTATTGTCTGAAAGCAAACATGTTTCTTGTATATTTTCACTGTTTCATGTACGATCTTAAGTTTTGAAAGGAAAGAAGTTCTTTGGAGCAAAAAGAATACCACAATTTTTGCCTATGTTAACAAGTCCTTAAAATACCAACATTTCATCCTTAAATTCAAGGCTGTAGTCCACAACTACAGCATTATCCTAAACGTAATATTCATTTGGTCTAGCAAGTTGCTGACAAGTGTTATGTGTGTATCTATGTGGGTTTAAAACTTTTCAGGCTCAAATGCTGCACTGTCTTAACTTGCACATAAAAACAAATAGTTTTGACTTTTAAAAAAAATCTGTGATACCTCCTACTTGTTCTGCTTCCTCCAACCACTTAGTTAATATGGATTTTAGTTTGCAGGCATTCTTGAAACTCAGTTGCAAGTTTTCAAACCGGCAAATAGTAGTCTGGCTGAATTCAGAGCCGTGCACTGCAGCTAGAGCTTCTCCAACATTTGTTTGTGTATAGCCTGTCAAAAGAAAATAGATATAAAGAATCAAACTAAAAACCTAAGGTCAAAAAAGAGTAGTAGGTGTAGTTATTTCCAATCATTAAATATGATATTTCAGAAGAAATATATCTTTCAGTTGTCTAGTTGCATGAATTACATACCTAGCTTAATTCTTCTCAACTTGAATTCATTGGCAAATTTTTCCAATTCTCTTATTTCTGGAGAATCCATATCTATTGGTTCATCAAGTGACTTGGCCTTCTTCCGAAATTCCTGTTTAAAATCAGTGGTAGGATCAGCTCCAAGTAGAGATGGATGCATGGAAGTAAAGCTGTGGCCTAGAGCACATGAACTGGCACTTAGAGCATGCTCAGGGAATTTATATAGGCAAGGAGTGAGACCACCTGTTCAGAAGCAAAACACATAAAAGCTTTCTGATTAAAAACCAATTTTAAGGAGATAAAATATTGTATTACTTAAGTGTATATCAATCATTGGTAAAAATGGGTAATGATGGCTTACATTGTTAGTGATTTGAATTCATAATAGTTTTTAGAGAACGTGTGCTTGAATATTAATCGCAGTATTACAATATCTGTAAAGAAACTGAAGATGGAAACAGGAAAAAAAGGAAAGTCATTCAAAAGATCTCTGAACTCAGAAGGCTGTTGTAACTTCAGATTGGGAAGCCTACATTGGACAAACAGTAACTGATTTTTTAAAAGTTCATCCTTATTTAAGATGGAAAGAGTATAGTAAAATATTATACAGTAGAGATGTTGACATCAAATAAATCTAAATAGATATTCCATAAGTACAAAGACCCTTAGTAGCAAAACATTAAGTTAGATCAGCATTCTGGGTGGACGTTGGAAGATTTCAGGAGTTAACAAATTACTCACAAAAATATGGTAAGCAACAGAAGAATAAAAGTTCCAACCAAGGTGGTATACCAAATTTGGAGAACAACTTGATAGCCAACAGAAAGGAAATTTAAAAATAGTACAAATTATACAATAGCTTAATTTTACAAACTTGCAAAAATAAAGCTTAATATCATCTGATTCAGATTATAACCTTTTATGAAAGGGAAATACCAGATGATAAAGCTGGTTTTAGTAGAGACATCATTGTTGATTCACATTGGTTAAATGTGAAATCCAGAACATATCAAATCAATATGGGCTTCACTGATTGTAGAAAAGTCCTTGATAGGGTACACCAAGTCAAGTTATAGAATGTGTTTACGATAATGGGAATCCCAAAACATTTCATTGTCGTCATGGAAATATGACAAAAAAGGACTAAAAAAACCCTCATTCCAAACAGAATATGGTGAAATACACTAGCTCTAAGTTGGAAAAGTTAGACAAGGCTGTGTACTCTCTCCGTATTTACTCAATTTGTAAGCTGAGGGTATATTAAAGGTGGCTTTATGAAAAGCATCTATCTTTATTGAAAAGTTTATAATGCTGGAAAAAGTAGAAAGAAATAGAAGAGAACAAGAAGCAGCATAGTAAGTATAAATAAAGAAAGTACAAACCACACAGAAAACTAGACCAATAAGAAATCAATATCTGGGAAAATCCCAGAAAGAATCAGCAAGTAATGAGTTTACAAGCACTTAGAAAGAAACACGGTGATTACTAGAAGCCAGAGTGGTTATATTAAAATATGTATCATGACAGACAAATCTTATTGCTTTTTAGCTAAGTAATTATATTACTAAACTAAGAGAATGGTGTAGATACAAAATATCTAAACCTCAGTAAGGCATTTGAATAAGTTGTCTCTACACATATTCAGTGTATGCTATTTTAGATGAGGATAGATAATCCACCAGCCACATAGATTCATAGTAGATTGAACAACCATGCCCGTTGTTTGGTCCTTAATGGATCTATGATTACATGGAAGGAGGTATACATGAGAGTATCTGAAAGTACAGTCCTTGGCACAATGTTCTTCACTATTTTTATAAATGACTTAAGGATCTAGAAATTCATTGAGAAAAATTGCAAATGATAAAGTGAAAGATGATATAATCAGAATGCAGGCTCATGTTTCAAAAAATCTTGAAAGATTGTATGTATCTAGCAAAATTCTGTTCAATGGTGGTAAAAGTAAGGTCTGCCTTGTAGGAAAACCAGGTGCACAAGTACAAGGTAGATAGAATCTGCCTCTGTAGAGCACAGATTAAGTATGAGCCAGCAGTTGCTTCAGCTGCAAAAGAGGCAATGAGACCCTATCAAGAGCACAGGAAGAGAACACTTAGTTTAAATAAGAGATGGTTAAGAGGAACTTCACTAGGGGGGGGGGGAGAAACTTGCCTTGTAAAGTGCCAACTCCATTCACAACATTGGGATGAGACATGCTGCAGGTCTGTAAAATACGGCTTTGAGAGAGGCTTGCTGCCAGCACATCTGGAGCAGTAGGCTTGATACCTATTAGAGATGGGCGGGAGGGAGAGGAGACTGCAAGAATATCAATTGAGAGATAAGGAATTCCACCTTAGCTTTAGCCCATAATAGCATTAATAAATAATAACCATTCCTGCAACTTTTTCTTTTTTAAAAAAAATGCATTGTATTGTGTCCATCTAGTGCAGCCTTTGTCAGTTTGGAGCCCCCTAGATATTGAACATTTAAGAAATATTTCAATTTAAAATACTGTTGTTTATTCTGTAGATAAATTTAAGGAAAGGGGAAGCTACTGAAAGTTAGGGAATTAGATGCTTGTATGGACAAGTGCTTGCCATCTTGACCTATCTGCAGCAATATATTGTGCTCCTCCAAGAAGCATCTTGTAGTTCCTTTCATCTCCTGCAGGTGAACTGGGCTTCTTCCCTTCTCCCCTTCTTTTGACATGGCACCAGGAAAAATGGAAGGAGAAAAGCACCAGAGAATGGATAACTAATAGCAAAAGACCAACTGGTCTTCTGCTCCCAGTAATTGTCAACAAAAAGGGGTTTTCCATCTCACCTATCTTTTGCCCTGTGGCTCTTAGAAGATGGTCATCCTTGAGCCAGCATATTTTGTAGCACTTAGTCCCCATGACAACATTACTTTTGTGCTGTAGTGAGGAAGAAACTGAACTTTAAAAAAATATATAAATGTGTCCTATATAATTGATACTAATAAGTCATGATCTCTTTTATAATCTGCATCAGAAAGTATCTTGACTGGGCTTCGAGGGGAGGAGCTGCCGCCGTCGGGAGCTCAATAAAGCTCCTGCCAGGACTCTGGTT